ATACAATGCACAGAGGAGCTGATGTGACAAACTCTAGTGCGGAGGGCTAGTTAACCTTGGTTAAATAATACATTCATTGCTGAAATAAGTTACAACGTGAAGTATGTATCTACCATACAATGCACAGAGGAGCTGATGTGACAAACTCCAGTGCGGAGGGCTAGTTAACCTTGGTTAAATAATACATTCATTGCTGAAACAAGTTACAGCGTGAAGTATGTATCTACCATACAATGCACAGAGGAGCTGATGTGACAAACTCTAGTGCGGAGGGCTAGTTAACCTTGGTTAAATGGTACATTCATTGCTGAAGCAAGTTACAGCATGAAGTATGTATCTACCATACAATGCACAGATCGTTACGAATATATAGAGTTATGTATCAATGTCTATCCTTCGTCATAACACCATACGAAAAACATGTCCTGAGCTTGGGAATAGTACTGGCTTGTAGATAAATTAACATGTTTTCACATATTTAAACAGTGTTGCTGTATTTGAAGCTCACAGAATCATGGTCCAATTATCCATGTTCCTGATAGGTGCGTCAGAGGAGAAATAGAACCCCAGTTTACAGGTGAAAAACATTATGTTTGTTTGGGCAATCTCAAGGTTACTTTGCACTTTGCAAAAACACATGTTTATCATTAACCTATGATGTTTAATTTAAGATCACCTCAATTAGTTTTCCACATATCCGAAATTCTGCTGAAGATAACTGGTTACAATTCCAAGCAGACACGTTAGAGAAATTGCCTAACTGTGTCCTCGTGTTTGTGAGCATTTCAAACTCAACCAGCACAAATATGCCATAGCTCGGCAGTCTATTGTTGTGAAAATCAATTGGCGGAGCTTCTTGGAAAAAGATTTTGTACGAGGAATGTCAGAACGCAGTATCACGTGTGGTATTTAGTATTCAAGGGAGTCATTCTTCAATGTTATCTACAGGCTGTGTTATGATATCACCAAGGAGACAATCTTTTGATGCCGTTAATACCTGACAAACGGCTGGACGCCACAGTTTCTCCACTGAAAGTAGGTTGCCTAACTGTTACCCCTGTATTACAAGGACTGTGTGTCGTTCAGTGAGTTAAAAGCATACAGTGTGATGTTTGTTGGTTGGTGTGATTCGTGTGTAACGCCGCACTCATCTATATTCCAGCTATATGACGGCGGTTGGTAAATAATCGAGTCTGGACCAGAAAATCCAGTTACTGACGCCATGAGCATCGATCAAGGCAATTAGGATACGATGACATGCACCAACCAAGTCAGTGAGCCTGACCACCCGATCCCGTCGCGGAAAGCATGGGTTGCTGAAGACCTATTTCAACCCGGATGTTCAAGGGTCCCTCACAATATGTAATACGTCCAACGAACTCTAAACGCCATATCTGTAAAGTTTGGTTAGGAATTCATATGCAGATTCATTATTACACAGCATTGTAGCATTATTGGCGGGAAATGTTATATCACAATCCCGCATTAAGACTCTAATTGTTTAGGGTACAATTCTTGACCGTGGGAATAATATTGGCATTAAAATAATTGCACATATTGAAATTTTCCAACTTTTTGGGAAATGAAGTGAAATACACAAATTTGAATCCACTACCTGCTATCCTGGCAGGAATGTTATGTCATATATGCCGGAATAATAGAATCGAAAACAATAAGTAAGTGTTCTATGGTGTAGGTAATGATGCAAATTTTACAATGTTCAGTTCTTAACGGGACTAACATATTATGATGTGAACTAAAAGATGTTATGTTTCACGTGGTTATTTCAATCCTTATTTCAGGTGTTCAGATTGATTCCTACATACATCAATTTACTGCGTCAAACTTTAAACTTGAGAATCATTAAGGTGAAAAAGTTCAACGAGCTTTGACATTAACAAACACAGATTAAACGATACTCGTCATGACAACTTCTAAAGTCAAACCTGTCAAATGTGCAACATGATCGTGCCGTCGGCATGTTGCAATTAGGAACGTGCAAAGGCGATGGGATAAATGGGCCCACAGTTAATGATCAGTGAAAGGGATCGCCCCATACCAGGGAGACTACTAGTGACGTCACAGGCACATGACTGTCACTGCTTTGTGACAGATACATCTACAAGGATTGTATTTTTAAGAGGTCTGGTGTCTGCGCAAAGGATCCTGAACGGGCTTCGAACTGCTCACGGCTGTCATAACTTGGATCCATTCTGAGGGTTGCAAGGCGGCCGATGGACGTCACACTCTGTGGTGAGTACAGGAAGTAGCTGTTTCGGACACACAAGTGACATATTTTGGGAAGCTTTCTGTTGGAATAGCGGTTCTTGACTGTTCATCTGTTCATGTTCCAGGCCAGATCTTTCAACACCACAATGCCACCCTATAGCGCCTTCTGGGGAACGAGGGCATCAACTTCATAGTGTGGCCATCAAGGTTGTTCGACCAGAATCCAATCGAGCACCTTTTGGTTGTGCGGGGATGACATCTGCCAACTGTCAGGAGCTTCCCACAGACGTTGAAGGAGCGTGGTGCCGCATTGTGAAAAGGCACATGCCCTTATAAACATGTGATGTCATCAGACAACACTGCTTGTGGTAGTCAATTTGGCTGGTACGCGTTTTGGCGATTTCATTGACGCCACATTTATTCCAGTTATAACGTTTGACGTCAACAAGGACACTATGCCTTCATCACCACTTTTTTCTGTCATATTTGCAAAGTGGCTAACGGTGGAACGGTTGTGAACTTTCAGGTTTGTCTCAATATATAGAGGTTATCACGCGAGTGTGTTTGGGGATGGTAAATATCCTGCATTAGGAATACACATTGTATTTAGTGAGCCTTGGCGAGCTAAATACATATGGGTTTTTTTCCTGATAAAGGATATTTACCATCCCCAAACACACAAGCGTGATAACCTCTTTATCATATAATGTCATTCTTTAATTCTGTGCTTCAAAATCGCTCACAAACATTACCGAAACATTGCGAGTTTTCCTGGAATGCGCTCATTAATATTTATTACATCACCGGGTAAGTGATGTGTCAGTCGGACAGTGACAGTAGCCAATATAGTTCCAACTGAAATCTGTTTCTTATACAGTGGCAAACAACATATACGCAAAACAACAATTGTTTTTAATTGCCTTTTGCGGTAATCCATCGGTCTGTCCGCTAGAGTAACTGCCCTTTGTCAAAAGTAAGCTACTCTAACCCTAGTCTATGAGACGTCACGACCACGGTCAGACGTTGTTGACAGTCGGTCTGTCCTGTCATAACGTTAAGAAGTGTAGTCAGATGTACACACAGCGACAAAACGAAACAAGGTAACAATTCAAACATATTTCGGCCAAATCCGACTATTTTAATTTGTGGAGAAGGTTTCAAGCCGCAGAGGTCTACAAGCACAGATATGGCTACTGATCCCCCTTGGCTAGGCCTCGTGCCCTCGTAAAATTGTTTCGAAATTTATATCCCCAAAGATGTCAAAACTTATAAAATGCCTTAGCTACGTCACATTTAGACACTGATTTTCAGTATGTTAGACTGTTCTTTTGATGATGTTAGCATTTATCCCTGTAGTTTATCCAGATTCCCGATGGTTAATTCTGACTCGATCGCCGAATGACGAGGGTGACGCCATGTTTGTTTATAAACAGTGAAAGTAGTCCCTACTTGACCTTTGCTATTTGCATCTCTATCCGCATATGACCCCAACGGATATAGTTTTTATCCGTTGCCTTCATCCTGCCGAGAAACCTACTACATGTATATGATAAAATTAAGTATCTACATTTTCAAATAGTTATACATATGTAGCCTACATATGTTCATTGGTTGAATCTACAATCAGATTGAATAATGCTTCATTATAAATGAGGTAAATAAAAAAGAGGTATCAATATATCAATTTGATACCTCTAAATTAAGCTTTTTCTCACAAAAGCGCCTATAAATACGTAGATAGCCTAAATCTCAATCCATATTTGATGGCTGTCGTCAGCCCATCACGATTCTATCGGTTCGATATCAGAATTTTATGTGACTTTCTGTGGCGACGATATTGACGTCTTAGCCCTCAACACTAACTGGCTTGATGGTGACATGTCAACACCTGACAAAGGCAAATTGTTTGCATCTTCACTCTGACGGCCACTGACAGCAGTAGGTAGTGCCAGGGATGTCATCAACTTGAAATGTTTCGGGTTGAAGGGCATTCAGCTTGAAGTCGTATTACTCTTACCTCAACTGATACAGAATGAGTGAGTGAGTGAGTATGGTTTTACGCGGCTTTCAGCAATATTCCAGCAATATCACGTTGGGTACACACGAAATGGGCTTCACACATACCCATGTCAGGGTATGTCCTTAGAGATATCTCTAAATAGCCTAATGAATCTAATGCCTCAAGCAGTTTTATGGCAGACCTGTGGAGGACATGTCTCATGATAACCCGCTAACATTCAAAACATGGTATCATCAAACCGTGTGGTTCAAATTCACACCACTCATCCAACAGTCCAACACCGAGTCGACAATACAGGCTGGAATGAGTAAAGAAGTGTTCAGGGAGCTTGGCACTGTCACGTCATATGTATACAATGACAAAGTGACTTGAGCCCTCGTAATTCACAAATTGAGTCTGCCCCAGTAAATGTTTCCAACAGTGTTATGGTAGACATGTGGGGGGAATTTCCAAATGTGATGCATCATTAATAAAATTGATGTCCGATGCAATTCATATTTTGACTTATAACACATGTTCCCAAGTTTCTTCAGTTGAACAATTGAGTTACCTTTGCATGTGTTTGTGCCACCGGGGGCAGGATATGATCACCTATTTTCAAACACATGGTATCATCTCAGTTGGAGGATATAGACCAATCACGTAGACCTTTCAGAAGTATTCATTTCTTCTTGTGGCTGTAAGCCCACTTCGTACGTATTCTGTGTGAACAAAAGCTGTCAGACGGGTGATTGTTATTGTTGGTGTGCAGTCCATAGCAACAAGTAATCGATCATGCGAGAGACATGTAGGGCGCCTTAGACACGCCACTGCTAAGTGAGTTTACACTTGCCTGTATAACATGCCATGAAGATATCAGTAGTTTTGAGTGTGGAATTCACCTTCTGTTTTGGAAGGATAAACATATCTTACCACAGTTACAAGATCTATCATGACAATCAGTGTCCCTTTGCAGTTCTCTGGGTGCTTGATTCGTTAATGGCTCAAGTCAAGGCTCAAGGGGAAATAACAGCTTCTATGCAGGAAATGATGTCAGGTATGTCCTTTGCCGAATTTTCTAATCATTGTCCAACATGTCGAAATGTTAGTAGTTCGAGTATAGTTTGATTCACACACATCAAATGAGTTTTGAATTCGTCATGTATAAGAACCAAGGCTGAGAAGAGGGATACAGTATAAACGTTGGATCTATTATATTCAGTTAATTTATGGCGGTGTGTTCTGCATCTGCCTTCATTTCATGAAATTGTTTATGAGCTCAAACGATTATATTTGTAATCCACAGGTAACATGTATATTGTAATTGTAGGCAGCAAAATCTCTGTACTTGTATGTGGCAAAGGCAATTAGGAGTTAACATACCGTTTTTAGTTTCAACACCTTGATTTTTGGGTCTGGACTCGATAGTTTGAGGTCAACCGTCACAGGGCAGGAGTATTGCTTGGCGCAGGTGGGTGGTCACCTATCTGTTCTGTGATATTGTTTTTCTATTATTAAACACATATCACTGAGTTGTAGAATAGCAACATAAACAATAAACATCTGGACAAGTTCACAAGCAACCCTAATGTCTGCTTATAAAATAGGTCACTAGTTATCTGCACCATTTGTCATCACCTGGTTTTGCTCACAACGTTTGTCTCACTTTAATATGTTTCTAGTTTCAGGACTGTGCTCCTATTGTTATCATTCAACGACATTGTGAACGACTAGTGAGTTATGCCAGACATTTTAGAAGCAAATAATCCAGAACGACACAAGCCTTAACTGTTAAAAGGTAATGTTATAATTCGAGATTGCTGTGATCCTAATGTTGTGAACATTGCAAAAGAATTGTGACGTACACCAGCCAGTTAACAGACATGAAAGACTATTGGGACTACCACACAGGTATTGCGAAAAATGTCAAGTTGCACTCGATGCAATAATGTGGTGACGAAATACAAGAGACAAAGTACTGACAACGAGTTACTTTCAATCCACACAGAGCGGCAAATATATTTACCGAAGTCACGAGAAAAGAAAAAAACACGTGACGAACTTCTTAAAAGACTTTCAGCGTTACGCAACAGTGGTGGTGGTGTTTTGTTGATTCATGTAAACGGAACAAGAGCTGGGGACAGATGTCTGAAGTATTTTGACGAGTTTGTCGGCAATATAGTGACCCACTTGCTGGAACCCGGAGAAGTATATGCCAACACCTACAGACGTCAGTGGTTACAGGATATCTTGGAGGATTGTCCAGACAGTGCTGGATTTATTCATATACGCGTTGCAGCTGTGAAAGGTGTAGCTACTGTAGATTTCAATACAAAGCTTGGCAAGGATTATGAGAATGTAATTCCCACAACACAACAACTACTCACTGTACGATCACATATTCTCAAAGCTACTGACCCTGTACTTAGAAATCTACCACTTGACAAACAACAGTTACATGAAGATATTCACATTCAGTTAAAAGGCTTTCCACCACAACGTACCCTAACTGAAGCAATACAGAAAGATGCCACCGACTTTGTGGACTACCTGTGGAATAAGCTTAAATTAAAGGATAGCATAAGTTCTATGTCAAAGATTCCTGAAGGTGGATCCTTCTATTTTGGAATAGGTGAGAAGAGTACACCTAAGACTGACACATATAAAACAATTATTCCAGATGTACATGGATTTAAGTTAAAAGTGGGTGAGGGAGAGTTTAAGAAAACACTCAAGTCAAAGCTACAAGACTGTGTACTATGGGGTCGAAGTGAGAACACTTTCACTGATGTCCCTTCTGATCTGATTGCTATTGCATTTCACCGAAAGCCATTTGATCCTCGGAAATGTGTCCTAGAGGTGGCTGTGAAGTGTGTTGAAGGTGTTGTGTTCTGTGACAGCCATGGACCTAGAACATACGTGATAGAAAAAGGACAAATTTGTAGAATGAAAGAAGATAAGTGGTCAGAAGGAATATTGAAAACTCATACAATTCTTAGATGCTAACTCTGTTTTGAAATCACCTGAAGCAGTTTGTTCCCAACATGTCCGGAGAGAACAGTGAGTCCAAGGCTTCTTCGGGTTACATTCATCATTCAAAGGGTACACCAGGGGATAATCATGAAGTCCAGATGGCTCATGATGAAGCAACTGATGACAGCAGTTCTCTTGGATCGAGTCCATATCAGTCTGATGAAGAAATCATCATGAGTCTGTTTGCCCAAGTAAATGACTCCACGTCAAGTTCTGACGACCAGGAGCCACTTCATGCAGGTATCACAAAACAGAGCTTATCAGTTCAGAACCTGAAGGGCGCGTAACTGGCAATTCAGGTCGATGCTTTGTTAAATGGTAGTTTGCAGGCCACACATATTTTGCACAGATGTACGATGTTATGATTGTTTGCAACAATTCATTCATTTAACTTTCACACGTTTATGCATATTAAAAACATAACAAACCTATTTATCAATGCGTTTACACATATTTCTGTATTTCCATATTAGATTTTCCCTCGGTGGGAATTAGCAGAGACGAACGAAACTTAATACTTGATCAGACAGACCTCAAGAGGGAAACAGATCCTGGTAAGTTGTTTAGAGAATACATTACGAGCTAAGCGGAATAATTATTATGGAGTATGTATCACTACTGAGCTATATATCCCTACTGAGCTATATATCCCGACTGAATGTAACATGTGTGGTCCCGAGACTTTATGATTATGTTATTATGTTATCTGAACCAAATTCATCAGTTTGATCAGTTGAAGCAGTAGGATTACTTTGCTATTGTACATGAACATATAACAAGCATGACATTTTAGTAGGAGAAGGTAAGATCCTTTACGTCATCATCCAATCTGCCGTGTGTTGAAGTGTACTGACGGGTGAAACCATCTGTGACTGTGTGTTTATGTTCTGCCGATGTCTGGATCTATGACTCAATTGTTTTTAAACATTCACCAGGTTTTTTTTTTTGATTAGGTTTAACTGAACATGGTCGTGCACATAGTGATCTGGGTGTAGTTTTGTAGAATCAAATTGTGTCCAAAGAGTTCAATCATTTCTCTCCCACTTAATAATAATAATTGACATTCCAACGTTCTGATTTCAGTTCAGTTTATTGCTACTGAATTCCAAAACTTAACTAATGTAGTCAATGTTTCACAACAAGTTAAAATAATTTATGAGCAAGGAGGAATTAAGGATTATCATAACACATCCAAGGGTGATTGTCTAGTGTTTTCCTCTGCACGTAGCTTACAGTTAATCTCCACACAAATGCTGAGGAATTCATGTTTCTATTAAATATCACATGATGTTATTTTTTGTTTTGAACGGTCTATCTTTATGATACATAAGCATACCATGTGACCATGTTTAGGATAGTTTTATTCTTTCAGGTCACAGAATATTTCCCCAATCTGCTAAGAAGTATTTGGAGCATCTTGTTACCAGATTAAAGGTGATACCAGTAGAAATCAGCGACCAACAAGTCTTTAATCAGAGAGACCCAAAGAGGGCAAGAGATCCTGGTAAGTTGTTTCGAGAATACCTTACGAGCTAAGGGGAATAATTATTATGGAGTATATATCCCTACTGAATGTAACAAATCCCGAGACTTGACATGACCTAATTTGAATACACATGAACATATAACAATCATGACATTTTAGTAGGAGAAGGTAAAATCATCGTCTAATGTGACGTGTGTTGAAGTGTATTGACGAGTAAAACCATCTGTAATTGTGTGTTTATGTTCTGCCGATGTCTAGATCTATGACTCCATTGTTTTTAAACATTCATTAGGATTTCGTATCATTAGGTTTAACTGAACATGGTCGTGATCGGGTGTCTGGTTGTACATTTGTAGAATAAAATTGTGTCCAAAAAGTTCAATTATTTCTCTCCCACTTAATAATAATAATTGAAATTCCAGCATTCTGATTTCCATTCAGTTTATTGCTATTGAATTCGAAATCTAAACTAGTGTAGTCAATGTTTCACACAAGTTCTATTTTCTTAGGCATTCCTTGTTCTTTGTGTGTTTACATTACTTTTAATTTGTACACAAATGTCTGAGGAATGCATGGTTCTACAAAATAACATATATACAGATTCATACTGCTTTTTTGTTTTGAAAGACCTTTTTTAAGATTTATCAGAAGATCATGTGTCGATTGACTAAGATAGATGTGTAGCTCATTGTATATTAATATTGATCATCTTTTACTTTCAACAACCCATCCACTCTATCAAATGTTAATGATATTTTTATTCTTTCAGGTCACAGTATATTTCCCCAGTCTGATAAGAAGTATGTGGAGTTTAGTTTGCAGAACCCCGGTGACAAAGTAGAAGTGATTTCAAGAGAAATCCAGAATGTTCTACACCAACATGTTGGTTGGGCCTACATAGCACATCAGATGGCTCATACTGAATGTCGCAAACTACCTACCATGTCCATCTGTGACGTGGCTGTCATTAGAGCCACACAGCCACTGCATATCCTGACATTTGTAGAGGACGGAGGCAAACAGGAACATGCAGTGGAGTACAATGCCCAGCTGACGAGAAGCATCATGGGTTTCATCAAGAAGGAGACAGGTGTGTCACTTGATGTCGTATATGGAGTTGTACCTGCGTCCACGTGGAAGGATGAGAAGATGTTTAAGGAGAAGCTAGAGCGCTTAGAAACTGTAGCCAGACGGAAGGCCTTACCTGGATACCTCCACATGGATACCGAGAGATACACAGCCATAACCAAGGCACTCGCTGACCTTTATAGTGAACCAGGGGTGAGGGTAAATTATCATTAGGCCTCCAAAAGTATGAAGATGGTATACAAGTATGCTGTTTTGGAATTTATATCATGATAGTTGAATGTAGTATAACATATGACGTGCCTTATTTCTATCATCCAAAACAGACAAAGGAACCGACAAAAGCAGTTACAATGTACGATATATGCAGGACGAGTTTCTACAAATGTAGATTTCTAAATGAATTTCCTCATAGAGTATTTTGATATAGTACACATGCAGGTTTTCACAGTCAAAACAAGTTTTCAAATCATGGATAGTGCTTCACTGATTGTATGCCTGAATACACCACCATGGCAATGCCACATAAAGACATAACGTTTATCTCTAAAAGTGTCATTTATCCATTGTAGGACCAGCTTGAGAGCGAGATAATTAATGAATCCCTTGATCGTGACGGAAAAGGTGTGTTTTCATATTCTACATAAAGCTTAGAATTGTTAAAAGAATTGTTAAGATGTATCTTAAAGCGTTCACTCGTCACACCGAAGATTTGGGTTCGATTCCCGACAAGGGTACACTGTGTGAAGCCCATTTTTGGTGTCCCCCGCCGTGATATTACTGGAAAATTGCTTAAAGTGGTGTAAAACCATAGTCGCTCACTCACATGGACTTGGATGGATGACGGATGATGGATGGCGAGTGATGACCGTTAGGTGGATGAATGGTGATATACTGTGATGGATGATGGTGGTGACTGATGGATGAAAGATGATGGATGGCGAGTGATGAGGGTTAGGTGGATAACTGGTGATATACTGTGATGGATGATTGTGGTGACTGATGGATGAAGGATGATGGCTGATGGATAAGTGATGACTGGTAGGTGGGTGAATGGTGATTTCCTATGATGGATGATGGTGGTGACTGATGGATGAAAGATGATGGATGGCGAGTGATGAGGGTTAGGTGGATGAATGGTGATATACTGTGATGGATGATGGTGGTGACTGATGGATGAAAGATGATGGATGGCGAGTGATGAGGGTTAGGTGGATAACTGGTGATATACTGTGATGGATGATGGTGGTGACTGATGGATGAAGGATGATGGCTGATGGATAAGTGATGACTGGTAGGTGGGTGAATGGTGATTGCCTATGATAGATGATGGTGGTGACTGATGGATGAACGATGATGGATGAGTGATGAGGGTAAGGTTGATGAATGGTGATATACTGTGGTGGATGATAGATGAGTGATGAGGGTTAGGTGGATGAATCGTGATATACTGTGGTGGATGATAGATGAGTGATGAGGGTTAGGTGGATGAATGGTGACATATTGTGATGGCTGATGGATGAGTGATGAGGGTTAGGTGGATAAATGGTTATATACTGTGGTGGATGATGGATGGGTGATGAGGGTTAGGTGGATGAATGGTGATATACTGTGATCGATGATGGATGAGTGATGAGGGTTAGGTGGATGAATGGTGATATACTGTGGTGGATGATGGATGAGTGATGAGGGTAAGGTGGATGAATGGTGATATACTGTGATGGATGATGGATGAGTGATCAGGGTTAGGTGGATGAATGGTGATATACTGTGGTGGATGATGGATGAGTGATGAGGGTAAGGTGGATGAATTGTGATATACTAGGGTGGATGATGGATGAGTGATGAGGGTTAGGTGGATGAATGGTGATATACTGTGGTGGATGATGGATGAGTGATGAGAGTTAGATGGTTGAATGGTGATACACTAAGGTGGATGATGGATGAGTGATGAGGGTTAGGTGGATGAATGGTGATATACTGTGGTGGATGATGGATGAGTGATGAGGGTTAGGTGGATGAATGGTGATATATTGTGATGGATGATGGATGAGTGTTGAGGGTTAGGTGGATGAATGGTGATATACTGTGGTGGATGATGGATGAGTGATGAGGGTTAGGTGGATGAATGGTGATATACTGTGGTGGATGATGGATGAGTTATGAGGGTAAGGTGGATGAATGGTGATATACTGTGGTGGATGATGGATGAGTGATGAGGGTTAGGTGGATGAATGGTGATATATTGTGGTGGATGATGGATGAGTGATGAGGGTAAGGTGGATAAATGGTGATATACTGTGGTGGATGAAGGATGAGTGATGAGGGTTAGGTGGATGAATGTCGATATATTGTGGTTGATGATGGATGAGTGATGAGGGTTAGGTGGATGAATGGTGATATACTGTTGTGGATGATGGATGAGTGATGAGGGTAAGGTGGATGAATGGTGATATACTGTGGTGGATGATGGATGAGTGATGAGGGTTAGGTGGATGAATGGTGATAAACTGTGGTGGGTGATTGATGAGTGATGAGGGTTAGGTGGATGAAAGGTGATATACTGTGGTTGATGATGGATGAGTGATGAGGGTAAGGTGGATGAATGGTGATATACTAAGGTGGATGATGGATGAGTGATGAGGGTAAGGTGGATGAATGGTGATATACTGTGGTGGATGATGGATGAGTGATGAGGGTATTGTGGATGAATGGTGTTATACTGTGGTGGATGATGGATGAGTGATGAGGGTTAGGTAGATGAATGGTGATATACTGTGATGGATGATGGATGAGTGATGAGGGTTAGGTCGATGAATGGTGATATATTGTGGTGGATGATGGATGAGTGATGAGGGTTAGGTGGATGAATGGTGATATAGTGTGGTGGATGATGGATGAGTGATGAGGGTAAGGTGGATGAATGGTGATATATTGTGGTGGATCATTGATGAGTGATGAGGGTAAGGTGGATGAATGGTGATATACTATGGTGGATGATGGATGAGTGTTGAGGGTTAGGTGGATGAATGGTGATATACTGTGGTGGATGATGGATGAGTGTGTGAGTCAGTGAGTATGGTTTTACGCCGCTTTTAGCCATATTCCAGCAATATCACGGCGGGCGATGATGGATGAGTGATGAGGGTTAGGTGGATGAATGGTGATATACTGTGGTGGATGATGGATGAGTGATGAGGGTGAGGTGGATGAATGGTGATAAACTAAGGTGGATGATAGATGAGTGATGAGGGTAAGGTGGATGAATGGTAATATATTCTGATGGATGATGGATGAGTGATGAGGGTATTGTGGATGAATGGTGATAAACTGTGGTGGGTGATGGATGAGTGTTGAGGGTTAGGTGGATGAAAGGTGATATACTGTGGTTGATGATGGATGAGTGATGAGGGTAAGGTGGATGAATGGTGATATACTAAGGTGGATGATGGATGAGTGATGAGGGTAAGGTGGATGAATGGTGATATACTGTGATGGATGATGGATGAGTGATGAGGGTTAGGTGGATGAATGGTGATATATTGTGGTTGATGATGGATGAGTGATGAGGGTTAGGTGGATGAATGGTGATATACTGTGGTGGATTATGGATGAGTGATGAGGGTTTGGTGGATGAATGGTGATATACTAAGGTGGATGATGGATGAGTGATGAGGGTTAGGTGGATGAATGGTGATATACTGTGATGGATGATGGATGAGTGATGAGGGTAAGGTGGATGAATGGTGATATACTGTGGTGGATGATGGATGAGTGATGAGGGTTAGGTGGATGAATGGTGATAAACTGTGGTGGGTGATGGATGAGTGATGAGGGTTAGGTGGATGAAAGGTGATATACTGTAGTTGATGATGGATGAGTGATGAGGGTAAGGTGGATGAATGGTGATATACTAAGGTGGATGATGGATGAGTGATGAGGGTAAGGTGGATGAATGGTGATATACTGTGGTGGATGATGGATGAGTGATGAGGGTATTGTGCATGAATGGTGATATACTGTGGTGGATGATGGATGAGTGATGAGGGTTAGGTTGATGAATGGTGATATACTGTGATGGATGATGGATGAGTGATGAGGGTTAGGTCGATGAATGGTGATATATTGTGGTGGATGATGGATGAGTGATGAGGGTTAGGTGGATGAATGGTGATATAGTGTGGTGGATGATGGATGAGTGATGAGGGTAAGGTGGATGAATGGTGATATATTGTGGTGGATCATGGATGAGTGATGAGGGTAAGGTGGATGAATGGTGATATACTATGGTGGATGATGGATGAGTGTTGAGGGTTAGGTGGATGAATGGTGATATACTGTGGTGGATGATGGATGAGTGAGTGAGTGAGTGAGTGTGGTTTTACGCCGCTTTTAGCAATATTCCAGCAATATCACGGCGGGCGATCATGGATGAGTGATGAGGGTTAGGTGGATGAATGGTGATATACTGTGGTGGATGATGGATGAGTGATGAGGGTTAGGTGGATGAATGGTGATATACTGTGATGGATGGTGGATGAGTGATGAGGGTTAGGTGGATGAATAGTGATATATTGTGGTGGATGATGGATGAGTCATGAGGGTAAGGTTTATGAATGGTGATATACTGTGGTGGATGATGGATGAGTGATGAGGGTAAGGTGGATGAATGGTGATATATTGTGGTGGATCATGAATAAGTGATGAGGGTAAGGTGGATGAATGGTGATATACTGTGGTGGATGATGGTTGAGTGATGAGGGTACGGTGGTTAAATGGTGATATACTGTGGTGGATGATGGATGAGTGATGAGGGTTAGGTGGATGAATGGTGATATACTGTGGTGGATGATGGATGAGTGATGAGGGTAAGGTGGATGAATGGTGATATATTGTGGAGGATGATGGATGAGTGATGAGGGTAATGTGGATGAATGGTGATATACTATGGTGGATGAAGGATGAGTGATGAGGGTAAGGTGGATGAATGGTGATATACTGTGGTGGATGATGGATGAGTGATGAGGGTTAGGTGGATGAATGGTGATATACTGTGGTGGATAATGGATGAGTGATGAGGGTTAGGTGGATGAATGGTGATATACTATGGTGGATGATGGATTAGTGATGAGGGTTAGGTGGATGAATGGTGATATACTGTGGTGGATGATGGATGAGTGATGAGGGTAAGGTGGATGAATGGTGATATACTATGGTGGATGATGGATGAGTGTTGAGGGTTAGGTGGATGAATGGTGATATACTGTGGTGGATGATGGATGAGTGAGTGAGTGAGTAAGTATGGTTTTACGCCGCTTTTAGCAATATTCCAGCAATATCACGGCGGGCGATCATGGATGAGTGATGAGGGTTAGGTGGATGAATGGTGATATACTGTGGTGGATGATGGATGAGTGATGAGGGTTAGGTGATGAATGGTGATAAACTAAGGTGGATGATAGATGAGTGATGAGGGTAAGGTGGATGAATGGTAATATATTCTGAAGGATGATGGATGAGTGATGAGGGTATTGTGAATGAATGGTGATATATTGTGGTGGATGATGGATGAGTGATGAGGGTTAGGTGGATGAATGGTGATATATTGTGGTGGATGATGGATG